GAAGTTTAAAACCTACTGACCTGAGGGACATGACCATTGGGCAGCTACAAGTGATAGTCAATGATCTCCACTCCCAAATAGAGAGTAAGTATAAGACACGTCATTTTGTCCAACTGAATTCAACAAACATTTATTAAGCATCTACTATATACAGTATAGTGTGCTAGGTACTGGCAGAGAGATGTTTAGATAAACCAGTCTTGATCTTCCTAGAACTGATAGTCTGCTAGAAGGACTTGACACATAAATAAGTAATTATGCCTTGAATTAACCATGTGACAAAATCTTGAATGTTTTAAAATGAAGCGTGAGGGTAACGTAATTATCTTTATCATAGTAATTCCGCGAGTATATGAGTACCCACTTAGGTGTTCATATGAAGGGAATAGGGACTTCTGGCTAAGATAAGAGTGTAAAAATCTCAGAGGGACCCAGGTCTAGGCCACTTTGACTTAAGGGATCTCCAAAGGTCACCAGACTGACCAATGCCCAAGAAAACCAAAGAGAAATATCAGAAAGCTCCTTCATCCTGTCCAAAACAAAAACAAAATGAGAAGCTTCGGTTACTAAAAGATGGGACCTATCAGAGAAGCCAGACCAAAATCAGATGAACAGATCATGGGCCTATGGCAGAAAAGTCTGACTAGGGAAGCCCCTGGGGGGGATGGAAGATCATGGCATCATCTCAACAAGGGAAGCCCCAGTGAGGGGGGTAAACTATAGCAGGACCCTGACCAGGGAAAACCAGCTACACATCTCTGACCAGGGATCTGGTGCCTGGACAGTACTCAGAGGCAAATAACAAAAGTGGGATCCAGAGGCAGGAGCCCAGGAAAGCAGGCTCAGAGCCAAACAGGACCTGAGCACATTCATTCAAGAGTGTAGGAGAAGGTGGAGGCCCTAGCAGAAAGTCCTCAATCAGGAGCTGAGGCTAGAAATATGAATAAACCCAAAAAACCTCACTGAACACTCTGGAGAAATGTTATGGATCAAGATATAAACCCAGAAGAGGATAATTCCACAACACTGATGATATAATGGGAAATAAAGAGATAAATAGTGCATGAGAATCCTGATAACTTCAAAGGTCACAGTGGAGATTAAATAGGAAAAAACAGAGGGACTGGTAGTTGGGTTTTTCTGTTTTGATGACCTTAACAAAGGAAATAAAAGGGAAGTATATATGAATATAGGGAAGAAATGAGGAAGAGAGATGCAGTACTTACTATTTCTTATAACTGGGGTGTGTAAGAAGAATACACAATGTAAGAAGGAGTGAGCTTCAGAAATAACATTCACTTCATTCTTATCTAGACAAAGCAAAAGAGAGTTTTACACACACACACACACACACACACAGAGTTTAGTGTATTACAACATTAAATTAAAGAAGGAAACAAGTTATGGACAGGTAATAAGAAATTTAAGAGGAAAGATAAATTTGGAAGGACCATAGCCACAAGTAAAATAAACTTCAATTTTGGTAGACAGATAGTCACCAGGGGACTAAAAGAGGGGCAGAGGTATAACAACCAGTGAATGATCAGAATCTGGGCCAGGGAAATAGATGGCACAGCGCATAGAATTCCAGGCCTGATGTCAGGAAGATTTATCCTTCCTGAGATCAGATCTGGCCTCAGATACTTACTAGCTATGTGACCCTTTGTCACTTACCCCTATGTTCCTCAATTTCCTCATCTGTCAAATGAACTGGAGAAGAAAAGGGCAAACTACTCCAGTATCTTTGCCAAGAAAATCCCAAATAAAGTCACGAAGAGTCAGATGCAATTAAAAATGACTGAACAACAACAACAATGGAATGAAAACAAATGATTTAAACAATTGGAGAAATATTTATTATTCGTGCTTGAGCCATGCCAATACAATAAAATGAAAATATTACCTAAATTTATTTTTTCAGTGTTATGCCAACCAAACTACCAAAGGGTTACTTTATAGAACTAGAAAAAAATAATAATAAAACTCATCTAGAGGAACAAATAGTCAAAAATCTCATGGGGAAAATGGGAAAAATGGGAAAGAAGAAGATTTAGCAGTCCCGAAAGGCAATTATCATCCAAGCTATTTAGTGCTGGTTAAAAATAGCAAAGTAGATCAGTGGGACAGATCAGAAACACCCTTCAGAAGTGCATGAACATGACAGCATAGAGTGAGGAAAAAACAAAGTTCCCAAATACTGACAGAAGAATTCATTATTCAATAAAAACTATGGGGAAAACTGAAAAACAATGTGGCAGAAATTTGGTTCACATCAACATTTCATGCCATATCTCACAATCAGTCTCAAAAGATTCCTGACCTAAATACAAATAGATTAGGAGATAAAATTATGGATAAGAGTTCTTGACCAAACAACGGACCGAGAGAAAGCTATGTATTAGTACAACTATTCTGTAAAGCAATTTGGAATTAGGTCCAAAAATCACTAACTTGTACACATTCTTTGACCCAACAATACTTCTACTAGATTTATATCCCAGAGAGTTCAAAGAAAGAAGGAAAATCCCCATCAGTACAAAAATACTCACAGTATTTTTTGATGTAGCGAAGAACAGGAAAATAAGGGTCCATCAGTTGGGGAATGGCCAACCAAATTCTAGCATATGAATGGAATGGAATGTTTTTCTTCCTTAACAGAAGGTACAAGGACAGTTAGGTGGCACAGTGGATAGAGCATCAGTCCTGGGGTCAGGAGGACCTGAGTTCAAATCCAACCTCAGACACTTGACACTTACTAGCTGTGTGACCTTGGGCAAGTCACTGAACCCCAATTGCCTTACCTCTCCCCCTCCCCTCAAAAGGTACAGTTCAGAGAACCCTGGGAGGACTTGTATAAACTCAAGAAGAGTTAAGTGAGAAAACCAGGGGGAGAGTTCATACAAAGTCTACAGTATTATAAAGAAAAATGTTGAAATACTTGCAAACTCTCATCAAGGCAATATGAGAAGAGTGCTCTCGGCAAGCCCAACTTCAGAGGAATGATGCTGAAACCTGCTTCCTATCTCTTTACACTGATAAACTATGTGGAGCTTAGAGAAAAAAAGAATTTGGTTGAATAAAATTTATGTAAATAAAGCTGCCAATTCTCTATCTGGGAATGATTTTCTTTCCTTAAATTAAAAAAAAAATAGTCTGCAGTTTCTTTTCACAGAGAATAAGTTACTACAAGTGTCAGTCACTGAAGAGCTTTCATGTCCATCTCACCATTTTCCTGTTCATTTCTTTGCCATTCTTGAGATCACAAAGTTGACATCTGGTCGTTTTTGAAAGATCCGCGTGAGGTTCTAGTTTATGGACTCTCTAAGTTGGAAGGGGTCTTGGAGGCCAGTCTAGTCCAGCCCATGCCTGGCCAAGAATCCCAGCTACAACACACCCAACAAGTGGCCAGTCAGTCTTTTCTTGAAGGCCTCCAAAGAAGGGGAACCCATTACCTCCAGTGGCATCCCCTTCTTCTGGGACATAGCTCCTACTATTGGAATGTTCGAGTCACGTTGGATCTTGAATTAACATTGATGCTATATTTATAGTTTCAGAAGCAGGTAGCCAGTCTGTAAGTATTTATTATGATCTTGCTTTGTGCTAGACACAATGCATGAATGAATGAATGAATGAATGAATGTATGAATGAATGAAAAAGTGATGTGCAAAACACTATTCTAAATGTGGGAGATACAGGTAGAAAAGCAAGACAGTCCCTGCCCTCAGGAGGCTCTCTAATATAGGGAGACCACAAATCCAGATGGTCCAGGGGGCATCATTTTCCTCCCTTGGAACATGGTGCCCATATTCTTTTCTGCAGGGGACCTTGATGCTTTAGCCAGGCCAGTCTGTGCCAAACTATAAGGACACAAACAAAGCCAAAAACAGTCCCTGCCCTCAAGGAGCTTACCTCCCAATGGGAGAGACAACATGTAAATAAACAAGATGTGTACAGAGTAGATGGACAGTAACCTTAGAGGAGAAGGCAGCTGGGGAGACCTAGAAAGGCCTCCTGAAGAAGGCTGTATTTGGTCTGAGTCTTCAAGTTAAGAAAGCCTGGGATTCAAAGAGGCAGACATACATACTGCTTTTTAGATGGTGGTGCATATTTAAAGTTGAGACTCCAGGGATCTGTATGTTCTTTGGGCCCCCTGCCACATGGAGGTCCTCAGGTGGAAGTTAAATCTACAAGCCTAGCTCTATTGAGGCGAAACCCTAAGATTCCCTGGGAGAATTCTCATTGTGGAAAGAGAAAAACATGCCACTTACCAGTCCTTTCCGGTAGCACTGGCCAAGTGAGCACATGTGACTCTTACTTCATAAGGGCTGGAATTATTCCCACAGACGTAGCTTTTATTCCAGGGCCTTGCTGTTGTTTTTCTTTCTGGCATACCTTCTCCCAGGAGGCTAATTAAGTTCTTCCTGCTGTATCTCCAGTTTCAGATGCTAGCACTAATCTGATATTTCTTATTTCTTTGTAACATCATTCTTGCTGGGAGGCTGACTACACGCATCTTTCCCCAGGGAGACTTTAAGGGTTAGGAACAGTGGGTCTTAATAGAAGACCATCGGGCATGATGTAGCGGCCTCAGACTATCATCATGAAAGAGGCACTCTTCTTTTTTCTCTCTCAACTAGAGAGGAACGTTGTAGTGATACAACCTTCCTATTTCTCATATTAGACTCAATGTCCATACTTGTACAGGATTCAGGAGTATAGTAAGTAATAAGACTTACACATTCAACAAATCAACAAATGTGAAGGTTTACAGAATCATCTCAAACCAAAGTGACTCGAGAAGGTACACACACTGGAAAAATCAACTGTACGATTATAACAGTTTATCAACATAGAGATTAGATATTGATATAGATTGTCAATTGTTCTAAGATCCCGCAAATTAGAGTATCCAAAAATGAAAGTCCTGGGTAAATAATCTTTTGAGGGGTCCCTGTAAATGAGAAAGGCCCAATTTTATCCTAGCCCAGGCCTCCTCATGTAGCGAATTGCTGAGAGAATTCCTCTCTCAGAGCCAGGACGCCCCAGCTACCTCTCAGGATTTTAAGGTACACTGAGGGATGTCTCTTTGTCCACCATGACTACCTCAAGCTTCCACCAGCTGTGTTCCCTTCATTGTTAGGGAGCCAATGACTAACACCCAGTTCCATTTAACCACTTATCATCAGATAGCTATAACAAGAGGGATATTTACCTCAAAGACATAGTGAGAACAAACATACAAATATGTCTCCTGAACGTATTAGAATCATACTCTCCTCTATTCCACTTTGGTCTCTCATGGGAAGTAGGCTCATAATTTAGCTCAGTTCCTTCATAGTATTGGTCCCATCAAAGCCAAAATCTTTGTTGGATCAGTCCTTTCCTAAGCCTCCACTGGACTAAAGCCCTGAAGGTCACTCTTTGCTTCTCAGAACATCATTGCTTCACTGGGTCTGGAACCTAGACCCTGGAATTCTGGGATGCTGAAGCACCATCTTGGACCCTTTGAACTCACAAGGTGTTGGTGTCTTCACTCCCTTCTCCTAGAACCAAGAAGAATAAACAGAGATTCCAAGAACCAAGGCCCTTTGGCCATATGGCTTCAGAGAAGGCCCAACACCTTTCCTTTTACAGCCTGGTCTCTTGGCAGATGCTGTGAACAAGAGTCAATAAGATCTCCCAAGAGTAGATGAAGCCAAAGAGCAGCAATGATGCTCTGAACACCAGGTGGTTTGAAAACTTTAATGTTGTCTCAGTTCTTTTTGAAACCAAATTCTAACCTTTTTTCTTCCCTCTTAACAAGCTATTTTCTTAATAGAAATTTCCCACTTTGGTGGCACTGTAATTTTTTTTTAATCTCCTGACTCTTTTTTTTTCAATATTGTTATTTGGAATGCAGTTTCCTGGTTGGGGGAACTGGCCACATGTATTATAAAAATAAAATGCCAGACCAGTCCAGAGCGCATCAGATCAGACTAGACCAGATACAAGACAAGACCAGACAACATAACCCAACACAGTATTTATTAAATGCCTGCTGTGTACAGAGCAGATGGAACATGTAAATTGTTGACCTTCATGGCATACTCGCATCTACTCTGAATAGTTGACTATATCAGGAATAATTCCATTCAGTTGCCGTAGCATTTATTAAATGTTTAGTTGGTACCATGCAATGAACCTGGGAAGACAAAAGACCTGAAGGAACTTATGTTGTACTGAGTATGCTCTGCTGAGTTGAAATTCTACACGTCCACACATAAGTTCTTTGTCCATCGTTCTTGAAGAGGACCAACACAGATAAATAAAATACAAATAAATATAAATAAATAAAAATGATTTCTCCACTAAGAGAATCACTTAGCAATTGAGGAAATCTGGAAAGGCTTCTTGGAGAAGGAAGTCTCCGAGCTGCACCTTGGAAGCTGGGTTTCCACGAGGGAGAGGTGTTTACACAATCAAATTGACTAAAATAATGTAAATGAAGAAACATCCTAAAAAACTAACTGAAGTCAAGTCCATTGCAATGGTCAATGTTGGTTCATATGACTAATGTAAAAGCATTCATTCTTGCTTGCTTTCTTTCTTTCTTGTAAGGAAGGGGTCGGCAAACTGACTTGAGGGCCAAATGTAGCCCCCTGCCTATTTTTGTACCTTCTGCTGCCCATTTTCCTATGTCCTACAGGCTAAGAATGGTTTTACATTTTAAAATTCAACAAAATTTTATTTTAAAATGTTAGCTGACTCTTGCTTTCAGGCCTAGTCAGCTATAAGTTTGGCATATTATATACTCTGCCATTCCCAATTGCTATGTCGGATATTTACCTAACTTGTCCGTTGGTATATCTGTTTGTTTTAAGGGAGTGGGCTATTAGAAAGGGATTATTGAGTCAAAACAAGATAATATCAATAAAACTGTCTCCAAATGCTATTGTCCTGGAAATACCCTGGAATCTTGGCCAGCCACATCACTACAGCTACCTTGAAATTTTCATGCAGAAAGCAAAATTCAGTGGCCTGGGGGTAGAGAGTAGCAGAGCCTTCAAGGACCCCTGGCTTTGATAAATGGCAGCCTTCTCTTCTCCCCAACATGGTTCTGAAATGAAAGGAGGCGTCGGGCTCCAGGCTTACATACCTTTGCACATCTTGATGCTAGTCTTTCTTTGCTTTGGCCCCAGGCTTGAATGAAGAGCTGGTGCAGCTGCTTCTCATCCGAGATGAATTGCACACAGAGCAAGATGCCATGCTGGTCGACATAGAAGATTTGACTAGGTGAGTGTTGCAAGCAGTAATGTGATTTCCAGTGTTTGTTCTATGGACTTGCTGTATCACTACCACCACTCCCAGTAGAAAGTAAGTTCCTTGAGGGCAGGAACTGTTTCGCTGTTTGTCTTTGTACCCCCAGTACTTAACAAGGCATCTGGCACATAGTAGGCACATGTGTGGACTGACTTGGATTGGGGAATCTCAGAATTCCTTCTATAATAATAATAACAGATAACGTTTGTATAGCGCTGAGTATATGCCAGGTGCTATGCTAAGCACTTGACAAATTTATCACACTGATCCTCAAAACAGCCCTGAAAGGTAGGTGCTATTATCATTCCCATTTTGCATGTGAGGAAACTGAGGCAAACAGGGTGAAGTGATTTGCCCAAGGTCACACAGCTAATAAGTGTCTGAGTCTAAATTTGAATGCAGGTGTTCCTGACTCCAGTCCAATGCTCTGGCCACTATACCACCATGCTTAGAACACAGTTTTGTGCGTGTGTGTGCATGTGTGTGTGTGTGTGTGTGTGTGTGTGTATGCGTGTGTGTGTGTGAGACGGTATTGGCTATTTCTCTACGGAAGTGGCAGATCTTTTTTTTAAGGCCTCATAAACAGCATCCCCTCTATGACCGCCATTTTCAGCTCCCAGTCCTGACTAAATGCATGGCTTTCTTAGCCGCCGCAGAAGCTCTATCCATTTTCATTGTATCACAACCTTTTAGGCAGCCCCGGGTCCTAATATCTACAGACAGACTCCTCAATGGGCCCTCCACTGATTCCATCAGACGGAACTGTCCTGAGTAAGAAAGGGGCCCTGAGCCCATGCTGGAAGGGCATGGAGGCCACCCTCCACCTCCTCCTTCCCCATGCATTGGAGGTAGCCTTGGAAGGAGCCCTGCCTGGCCCTGGCTTCTACCAGGCCCAGCACCTGCTGACAGATTGCTCTTCCTGCATGGTGAATCTCAAACCAGAACCTCTCATTTGGCCTGTGCTGTGGCAGCCTCCCTGCCAAGGGGTAGCAAATGCCTCCTTCCCTCAGATACAAACAAACTAGGTCAAAGCTACTCAGATGGCACGGTTCTTAAGTTCACCACAAGACGCTTGACCATGCGTATGAGAGTGAAACACTCCAAAAGGCCATTTGGGCAGTGTGTAGGATACCTCCTTCCCCAGGGGCCCAACCTGATTGGTCTAGAGGAAGACGCAGAATTTCTGAGATGACCGCTACAGATTCACAGTCTGCTGCCACCCCAGAGAAACTTAGCCCCCGCCTAACTCAAGCCCCTCTTTTCACAGATGAGGAAATAAGGTTGTCCAAATGCCCACAGGGCAATGGAATAAAGACTAAATGTCCAGGCCTCTATCTCCTAGCCGAGGGCTGGCTCTGCTAAGGAGGGTCTGAGCAAGCAGGACTAGTGGACGGCAAGGGGTAGTGGAAAGAGCCCCGATCCCCAAGACAGAAAACCTGTCTTCCATTTCTGACTATGTAATTACTAATTGTGTGACCTTAGGCAAGTCATTATTCGATAGGTCTCTGTACAATGAGGGGTCTAGGTGGTACAGTGGCTAGAGCCCTAGGTTTGAAATCAAGAAGACCTGAGTTCAAATCCTGCCTCAGACCCTTACTAGCTATGTGACCCTGGGCAAGGCACTTCACACCTCTGTTTGCCTCAGTTTCCTCACCTGTAAAATGAAGACCACATGGCTTCTGAGGTCCCTTTGAGCTTTGATCTACAGATCCAACCCAGCCCAACAAGCACGTATTAAGGGCCTCCCACTGTGCCAGGCACGAGAACCAGAGACACAAACAAAGCATTGGGCTGGGGGAAAACAACACATAAACACGTATGCTTAGACGCCGGTGATTCAGGGACAATGAGAGCACTGGCAGCGAGGGGGATAATGGAGGGGTGACTGGGGAAGCTGAGCTCACCCTGAAGGAAACCAGCAAGCTTAGGATGGGGAGCATCCCTGGCATCAGGCACAGCTTGGGCAAAAGTGCTGAGGCAGGAAATAGGTGGTTCAGTTTGTCAGGGAAAATGTCATGTGAAGGGAATAACAGACAGTGAGTTTGGAAGCATAGGCAGGAGCCAGATTGTGTAAATGCTCTACTGTGCAGTGCGTGCTCGAGCAGGGAGGAATACGGTCAGACAAAAAGGCATGATGAGGCTCATCCATGTAGCGCCTGGATTGGGAAGGAGAGAGATCAGAAGCCAGGGGTCCAATTAGGAGACGTTTGCACAGTCCAGGTGAGAACATAAATAAAACATTTGTCAAGAGCACACGGCTAATTAATTTACATGATCTAGAATTCTCTCAGGGAGGAGAGTGAAAAAAACTACAAAAATAATGGTTGGGGCACTTAGCGTGGTATCTCTTCTCTGACTATGTCGAGCTTGTTAAAATAATTTTTCTAATAATGATGACTCCAGTAACATCCTACTCCCGGGCCTCATGGTGGTATGGAGAGGATCCTGGCTTCTTAAAGGCTGCACTCATAGAGAAAGGTTCTGCCATACAAAGAATGCTTCAGGAATCAGCCTGGCAGGGGACTGTAGGCTCAGTATTCCAGGACCAGCCTATCCTGGCAAGAGACTGTAGGCTCAGCATTCGAGGACCAGCCTAACCTGGCAGGGGACTGTAGGCTCGGCATTTGAGGACCAGCCTAGGGCAGATGTAGAAGGCTTGTTATTCAGTCAATTACAAGGCGATGAAGGTTTGGACCATAGTAATTGCCCAGGACAAGTTACAGAGTCAGTCCTCATACCTACAGGTACCCAGATCCTTGAGATACTAAAGGACTGAAGAAGATGATGTAAAAATAAATGTGGATAACCAAAGACGTGTGATATGGCTTTGGCCAGGTTTTACTAGGATAAACAGAAAAGTATTTCCTTTTGTATGCTTCAAACTTCTCACGGCCTCATCTCTAAAGGCAAAATATAGAAAAGTTTGTCTTAGTTCCCTTTTCATGACTTTGCCTGAGTGCTAAATCCCAGGATATAATAATAATAATAATAATAGCAGCACCAATTTTTAACATTTTGAGATTTGCAAAGTACTTTAAATATACTCTCATTTTATTTTCACAAAAGCCCTGGGAGGTAGGGGTTATTATTACTCCCCACTTTACAGATAAGGAAACTGAGGCAGGGAGAAGGTAAATGACTTCCCCAAGGTCACACAGATAGTAAGTAAATGACTGAGGCTGGATCTTAACTCAAATCTCCCAGACTCCAAGTTCAATGTTCCACCCGCTGTACCACCTCACTGCCTCATGATAAAATAGAATCTCTCCTTTCGATCAGTCAGGTCTTTATAAAGCATAACAATGTGCCAGGCACTATGTTCAGTACTGGAGACAGAGGTACAAAGAATGGCGTAATTGGATGGAGAGTGAGCTTGCACTTTAAGGCACAAATCTAGACTGAGAACCACAGTGATTCCTGTTTACCGATTAAATGTTATTGGCAAAATGTTTCCTTTTCACCCACTAGGAGTCAGGCACTGTGCCAGGTGCTGGGAATAGAGAGACAATAATGAGTCCCTTCTTTCAAGGAGCTTATAATCTTCTGGGGTGGGGGTGGGGGGGTGAGGGAGATAGAACGTGCATCTGTAGTGCACCACGAAGTAGGAAGATCAGCAGGGACCTTCTGAAGGACAAGGGACCTGAGCCATCCTTGGAAGGAACAGAAGGAAACCCACACACCGATGCTGAGAAGGAAACAATTTATTGGTGCCACGTAGACCCAGAACCTCAGGGTCAACATATCATCTTTAAAAAAAATTTTAATAGCACTTTATTTAGATCTGGAATTAGGAAGACCTGAGTTCAAATCTAAGCACAGATATTTAATAGCTATCTGACGTTGAAGCAGCTGGGTTGCGCAGTGGTTAGAGCACTGAGCCTGCAGTGTTCAGCTCTGGACTCAGTGACTTACTAATTGTATGACCCTTGACCTCTGTCTGCCTCGGTTTCCTCAACTGTAAAATGGAGATAATAATAGCACCTACTTCTGGATCAAATGAGATAATATTTGTAAAGTTCTTTGCAAATCTTATCATTACTGCTATTATTAATAATACTTTTTTTTTACAATACCATGAGTTTATATGTACATAAAACCCTTGCCACCCTTACTATCCCCCAATGAGTGAATTTCCCTCGGGACAAAGACAGTGACTCTAACCTACCCAACACACAAAGTTGTGCCTTCTAAAAGATGTCTGTGCACAGACACCTGTGAACTCTCAACGGCTGATGAATTCTGACAGTGAGAAGAAAGACCCCTTCCCTATACATTTGGAACAGCAATAGCATTTCTTAATTTCAAAAAGTGGATGAAGAGATGATCAGTATTCTTTCCTCAGTCATTTATAATTACAATATATTTCATGTTCACTTCACAGCAGAAAGTACTGGAGAGACCTAGGCTAAAAATATTTGTTTTAATGGCACTGGGACAGAGGTGCCCTGTTAAGCTAAAGGTAAACCTCTGGTAACAAATAGGGACAAGGTATCAATTCCATTCAACAAACCTATTAATCATATTATTATATATGTATAATAATAAGTATTCATTAATAAAATTCTACCAAATTAATTATTAAGCATTAATGTATTTATTATGATATAGCATGTAATATGCTATATTTTAATATTATATGTTATAATTGTATATAATTCATTGTTCTACTATATTTTAACATATATTATGATTGTACCTCATTACTATACTATATTCTAATATATATTATATTATATATCATTATACTATACTTTTATACTATGTGTTATAATTACATGTCATTGTTATACTACATTTTAATATCATATATTATAATTGTCAGTAATTTACAACTTTAAAATATAATGTGATGAATATATAATTATAAATTTACAAAGCACTGGGAATAGATAGATAAAGAAACAGTTCTGTATCTCAAGGATTTATATTCCATTGGGAGGGTAGTGACACACACCTAGCTAAGTACAATACAATGTGGGGATTTGGGAGAGAAGGGTTGGCAAGGAGAGATCTAGTCAAGGCACTTGTGAATACTTGAAGAAGGAGAGGGTATCAGGGAAGTCTTCATAGAGGAGGTGTTTCCAGAGATGAGACTTCAAGGAAAAGGAGGATTGTGATAGGTAGAGATAAGAACAAATCAGAGGGAGGCAATGACCTTTGCAAATGCTCAGAGATGGGAAATGATATAGGATTGTAGATTTACAGCTGAAGAGAGCACAGAAGTGGTCTTATCCAAATCCTTCCTTGTGCACCTTAGGAAAATGAAGTGCAGAGAGGTTTACTCATGGTCACCCATGGTAAATAGAGGAGCCCTCAGTCCTTTGATTTCAGAGTCAGCACTCCCCACTGGACCACCATAACTCTTGAAGTTCATACTGAGTCCTTGAAACCACTAGTGTGTCTGGAATCTAGAGGGCATGAAGGGAAATAAGGTAAAATAAATAAGAAAAGCAGATCGGATCCATACTGTGGAGCAGCACCAAAGATGCCAAGCAGGCTAGAGTTTATTCTAGAAGCAATAGGGAGCCACCAGTGGTTCCAGGGCAAGGGAGTGACCTCATCCAATCTGTGTCTTAAGAGAAACAGGCAGCTGGGAGGAAGGTAGATCGGAAAGGGGAGAAACTGGGGGCAGGGAGACCACCAGGAGCTGAATACAGTAATCCCAATGAGGTTCCAATAGCTATCTGAAGTAGAGAATGGGGACGGATCATAGATGTATAATTTTAAGGGATTTTAAAAGTCCTCTAGCTCAACCTCCTCATTTTACAGATGGAGAAACTGAGACTCAGACAAGTTAGATGATTGGCCCAAAGTCGCACAGAGAGTCAAAACCAGAGTTGGCATTTGGAGTCACGGGCTCTGATTCCAAGGCCAGTGTTTTTCCCACTATAGACACACTGCCCTCCCCCCAGCCCATGTGAGAGACAGTGACTTGAGGAGGAGAGGTGTCCTAAGCAAACAAGAAAACCGGAAGGAAGGACAAGTTCTAAGGGAAACATAAGGATGTCTTTTTGGAATCCAAGAAGTTTGAGTACATTGGTGGGGGGGGGGGGGGAATGTGTCCAGTAGGCTAGCTTGAGTGCAGGATTCACGTGAGCACTGAGTACACAGCTCTGGGAATTATCTGTTTGCAGAGGACCGGCCAACTCTTTGGGAGGTTGTGAGATCACCGTGAGGGAAAGTGTAAACAAAACAGAGGAGAGTCTAGGAAAGGGCCTTCAGAGACATCCGTGCGTCTGTGATTAGGGGGCAGGGGATGGAGGATGGCCCAACAAAGCTGGCTGAACAAGAGTGGCCAGGCCGGTCAGAGGAGAACTGGGAAAGAGAAGTATCACAGAAACCAAGGAAGGAGAGAGTGGCCAGGACCGGTCAGTGGTATCAGAACCGCTGTCAAGGAGGACGAGGCCTGAGAAAATAATCAAGGATTCAGCAATTGAGCTTTTTGTGGAGAGAAGACCATGTGTTAAAATGTTGACATTAAAATTGCCCCATTCCCAATGCACTGAAGTGAATGCAATATCTCCACTGCTAGAGGGGGTGATTGGAGGTGGGGGGACTGTAGCTACAGGGATGGGGGGGAGTAAGTTTGGGGAAATAAATATGGTATTTGCAATGTTTTCAGTAGTAACATTTCCCGAGTTGACTCCACCTTCAAGTAAACAGGCAATTTGGGAGATTTCTCAAGCCTTCCCATGCCGTCCCATTTGCCTTTACCCCACCCTCAAAAATTAAACACGTGCGCGCTCACACACAGTAACAAGGGTACACTAGCACCTTTGGTGTTGAGAGAACACTGTATCTGGAACAAGGTTCTTCCTTTGATTCCTGGCTCTGATACTTAACTAGGTGTATGACCTTGGGCAAGTCACTAACCATCCCTAGGCCCCATTTTCCTAATCTATACAAATGAGGCAGTTAGACTCCACCTCCAATACCCCCTCCAGGTCTAAATCTACAGTCCTATATGTTGAATTGAATTACATTGAATTGAATTGGCCAAGTCACTGTTGGCTTGGCACAGTGACTGCCATGTAGGAGACATTGCTCCATGGTTATTATCTTGACTTCCTGGCACCAAAGTCTCAGAAATGGTAGCTCGTCGAGGTATCTTTCTGTTTCTGGTGTCAAGTTTTCAGGAGTCAGGCCCAGCAAAACAGGCTCTGTGTGCACCCAGAGGGGACGTTGGAATTAATGGGACAGAGGGAATGTTCCTTCCTTCCAGATGTCATTGCTTGGTGAATGATGACCAATGTCTTTGCCCATTTTTCTGCCTGGCTTCTGTCATCCTGATCTGTTATTGCCCCCAGAGCCATGAGCTCTGGACAGGGGAGGCAGACTTTGTGTGTCGCCATCTTCCTTAAAGACTGTTTTTTCCAGAGATGTAAATGACATTCTCCTAAAGTTGTTCCATTTGGGGTTCATGCCAATTCAACACCATCTGTGAAATCCCTCCCCAGCCACTCAAAAGCTAGGAAATAGAATGTGCCTCCCCTCCCCAGGACAGGGGAGAGCTTGCCTTTCCCTTCTCAGGCCAGCCTGGCCATTTCCAAAAACTATCTGGGTGAAGCCATTGTGTTTTGCTATCCTTGGGCACATTTTTTCCAAACAACATGTTTAATTAGTGCTCGTTAGCATGAGGCAAACCTTGGACTTGGCCATTCCGCCTTCCTGTGCCCGCTGTTCAGCCTGCTGTCTGACTGGGCAGCCTCAGGCTTCTTGGTCACGTGAGAGGCTTCCTGGGCAGGAGACGCTCCAGAGCAAAGCCTCCTGGTTGTTTGCTTGTGTGCGTGACAAGATCATTCTTGGCTCTTTGAGCCAGGATTGGGGGGGGGGGTAGTGGTTTTATATAAAAATGAAGATGATTGGAAACAGTATTCAGCAATGCCTTTGACAATTTGATTGGAGTCAAGAAGATCTAGATTCAGTCACTTGGCCTTGGAATCTGCACTGTAATTTGAAGGTCAATGACATGCCCAAGGTCACACAGCTGGGATGTGTCCAGAGGCAGGTCTTCCTGGCTCCAAGCTCAGTCTCTATCCACCAAAGCCATTCAAATGAGATGTTATATCAAACTTTAAAATAATACATAAATGCTAATTGTTAGTAGTTATTAATCTTGGTAAAAGTAAGGATATATACTGACCTCAGATTCCTATCATGTACCTTAGGTTACTTGATTCTTTTGCCTTGTTTAATTTATTTGCAGTTAGATTTTGTAAAGCTCTTTCTTCTTGTTCTTCCCCCCCATCCCCCACCAGTCAATGTTTTCTTGTTCTTGTTTTTTTAATATTATTGACATTTCCTAATGACCAACCTCCCCTACCCCATAGAACTTTACCTATATCCCTTCATTCTTAGAGACAGCCTATAACTTTCCTTCTCACCATTAGGTTATAGACCAGGGGTCCTTAACCTGGGGTGTATGAACTTGGGTTTTTAAAATATTTTAATAACTGTTATTCAATATAATTGGTTTCCTTAGTATTCCTGTGTAATTTATACATTTAAAAACATGATTCTGAGAAGGGGTGCATAGGTTTCATCAGACTGACTCCCAGAGGTTGGCCAGGCACAAAAAAGGTAAAAAAAAACCTGTTACACATCCTAATTAATTGATACAACCCCAGAATTAATCTAGCTGCTTATTCTAGAAGTACAGTTAATTGTATAGAGTAGAAACATTCCAAAAATTAAATTGATCAGAGTAGACTGCATTTTAGCGGTTCTTAGGAATGTATTTCTTCTTGAGCGGACATGACTATTTGTCTAACAGGTACCATCCCTGGAAAATCAAAGAGCAGCAGAGACTTTTCCTCTTGGAACTAAAATAATGAATTTTGTGATTAATTTTACAGACATGCTGAAAGCCAGCAGAAGCACTTGGCGGAAAAAATGACGGCAAAATGAACCGGAGCCCCCCCCACCCCGGGAGACCACGCTCGAAAACTATTGTGCTTCTGTGGTCCTAAAATGTGGATACACCCTTGGAGGGGTGCACCAAGAAACAAAAAAATCAGTGTTAGTCAGTGATGATGTCCGAAGCTTCATGTCCAGTGATTGGCCTTTGCTTCTTAATTTATTTTAATTTTAACTCGTGCCACTAAATAGCCGGCATTTTAATAAAATACAGTTATGAGAAGAAAATGTACAGTAGCCATGCTGTTACAACCATGGTTGGGAACAGAGGGTAGTTTAACTTTATTTTTTATTTGTTTAGAGATTTTCAGTTGAACCCGTCCTTTCCCATTGCGTACTTTTACTCCTTGCTGTAGTTTACTCTAAAGAAAAGCTGTCGAAGCCGGTGCTATCAAAGTCCAAACCATACCTGCCTGCCTCGTCGTGAAGTTGTAGCTTTCCGTCATCTGGATATTTTAATCAGTTTTCAACATTTTGTGAATGTTGACTACCTGACCTTCATTTTTAGATGTGCTATTAACATTCAGCTGGATTCAGAGAGTTTCCCTGGAACGTTTTATGTATAAATATGTAAAATAAAAATTGAAAATTTGTTTCATAGGATATGTCTTTTTGTTCAACAGTAGACATGGTGGCGGTCCTTCCCCTTTGCTTTCCTAGGGAGAAATTCTCCATCTTGTGATTTTTACTACAGAGAAGCTAATTGCAGTCGGTTCCCCAAACAACTACAGGGAGGCAATGAGCTTGCATGAGTTGATCGGCACTCAGAGAAGAGCCATATCTTTGCCCAGAAGGATAGAATTTCAGAGTTGGAAGCAACTCACTGGTCATCGATCCCAACTCCAAAAGAAATCTTAATAATAATAATAATAATAATAGCTAGAACTTACATGATACTTTAAGAATTACAAAGTACTTTACAAACATTGTTTAATTTCTTTACAGCAATCCTGGAAGGTAAATGCAATAATTACCCCATTTTACAGATAAGGAAATTGAGGTAGACAGATGGGCAAGCGAGTTGCCCATGATCTCATAGCTAGTAAGTGTCTGAGACTGGATTTAAACTCAGGTCTTCCTGACCCCCCAAGTTCAGTGCTTTCTCCACTGGACCACGTAGCATTAAAACTTTCCCTAAAAGTATTCCTCCAGTCTCTGCTTGAAGACCACCAAAGAGGAGGGACCCACTGTTCCTGGGCATATTCTACTTTTGAAAAGTTGTAATTGATACATTCTGGCTGTGTGACCCTGGGCAAGTCAATGACCACAGGTAACTCTAAGACTAAGTTGCTGAATGAGTGAAGAGTTCCTTGTGCTGATGAAATCATAGACTTCATCCAAAAACCAAAAGCCTAAATGTTCCCTAATGAGGGCAGCCACAGTCAGATAATTCGATTGAGAAACAGCACTATCAACAGAGGCATGATCTACTAAGTTACTGATGTGCAGTGGATGTTAGACACACACCCTCCTGTCCATTATTGTTGTTGTCCTTCATCCTTTGTTTTCCAAGAAGACCAATGACATCAGGGGGTGATGTTTTGACTCGGCCGAGAATTGGATTTAAGTGAGGCAGACTTGCACAGAGTCATCAGCCTCACTCTCTCTTCCTAACTCATCAAAAAACAAAAGTCAAGATGACTGGTGATGGCCTGGGGTGGAGTGGATGACCTTGGCATCTTCAATGTCTGACCACGTTCTAAGCACTCCACAGAATCTGCTTCAGCTGCCTTCATGGCCGTTGGAATAAATTGTTCTCATCCACCCATTCTTATGGGGAAGTCTTTGCATGCTTGGAGCAGACATCCCCCTAACTTACCAATGGGTTTGAGACCTGTTGGTTACCCTCCTCCTGCCTAGCAGCTTACCAGGGTATGGCCATTGTGCATGCAATGACTTCTTGGAGAATAACACCTCTCACCTTTTGTTGATAAATCAGTTTCAAAAGCTAAACATTAGTTGTCTTTTTACCTTGACCAAGGTGTTTTTATATGAAAATGACAACTGAACTTCTCCCCCTATCCCTGAGTCCCATTTGACATGTGAAAGTTAAACAGTGTAGTTTCATGAGGAATATTTCTAGTATACAACTCCTGTATCGCATGCAAGTGCATGACTAAACATGGGGAAGTCCAACATTTAAACGTAACATTTTACTCAGGCTCACTCAGAGAGAGAGCGAAGACTGGAAATTGAAAAGAGGCAAAGACAGCTAACTCGGAGAGTGATCCATAAGTGGAATGGGTCACCTGGGGGAGAGGGCTCCCCTCATTGGAGGTCTTCATGTCTCATTTGGACAACCACTAGTCACAAATGTTGGAGGAAGGTAGGCAAGGGTTGGACCGGACAGACGCTGAGGTCCCTTAACAACTCTGAGATTCTGTTGGAGCAAATATTTGAGCACTGACTTGAACCCAAAGTCTAACCATGGGGTAGCACAGACAGTAGGTGTTTAATAAACGTTGAGTTGAAATGGGATACCGTTGTGGATCTGGGCAGCTAGGTGGCAAAGTGGATAGAGCACTGGGCTTGGAATCAGGAAGACTGCTCTTCCTGAGTTCAAATTTGGCCCCAGACACTTACCAGTTGTGTGAACTTGGACAAGTCAACCCTGCTTGCCTCATTTTCTCATTGATACAATGAGATGGAGAAGCACATGACAAACCACTCCAGTATCTTTGCCAAGAAAATCCCAAATGGGGTCACAAAGAGTCAGACACACCTGAACAACAACAACCTTTGTGGATCATGGGGAATAGTGATTTCCAGCACCCGGTCTCCCTGCCATTCTCTATAGCTTAGTGACTCTAAGCTTTTTCATCCCAAGGTAAAAGATCCTTTGGGCCACCTTTGTCTCCCTCAGTCCCCATCCGAGTCTCTCCCATACATCAGTAGAGGTCAAGGGTGGGGGGATAGAAATCAATCAAACAATAAACATGTATTAAGCACCTATTATGTGCCTGGCACACAGTAGGAAAAGAAGTCATTGTCTTTAAATACCCTGGAAGAATGTCCGTGGTTGGAGTGGGGTAAAAGCTCTGGGAGTTTGAAGGCCTGAGTTCTAGTCCTGGCCCTGTCACAAAGTTGCCACTTAACTTTGGACAAACCACTCCAATTTTCTAGGCCTGAAAGCATGAGACTTAGGATCACTAAATCCCTATCCACCAACCTCTGTCATCCCATGGTTTTTGACATAGTGAATAAAGCACTGGACTTGGAGTTAGAAAGACCTGAGTTCAAATATGGCCTCAAACCCTTACTGGCTCAGTGACCCTGGACAAGTCATCTAACCTCTGTCTGCCACAGTTTTCTTTCTGTAAAATGGGAACAATAATAGCATTTACCTCACAGGAGCTATTGTGAGAATCAATGAAGGCAATATATCTGAGGTACTTAGCACACTTTAAAGAATTACACAAATGTTAGCTATCGTTATTAGCTCACTGGTCCACAATCACGGGACCTTCATACTTGGAGTGCCACACTCCTACCAAATCTTAACCCCTGGAAGGAACAGGCTTCCTTCTGTATTTACGTTCATTTCTTCTTGAATGAAATGTAACATTCATCACAAAGTAGCTTGATAGGTAGTGAGTCTTTCAGGATACTTTAAGAGAGGCATATATTCAGTTGTGAGTGTAAATTAATATATTAATGATGTAAGTTAATGTTCTGGCTCAGCACCAATTAAAATGACCTTTTAATTACTAGGAGAGAACCCAAAAGGATCTTGTTTCGGTCCACTGATGAGAAATCATTCACCAAGCCTAATTGGTTGTAAGAAACAAACCACTAGGTGGCAAAGTGGACGGAAAGAACAGAAAGACTGAGTTCAAATCTTGTACACTTAATATCTGTGTGACCCTGGATGAGTCACTTACCTGCTAGCTGTCTCAGTTTCCTCAACTATAAAATGGGGATAATAATAGCCCCTATAGGTCTCATAGGGCTGTTGTGCAGAGAGAATACAAATGAGAGAATATTTGTAAAGTGCTTAGCACTACATAGTTGGTGCTTAATAAATGTTCTCTTCCCACTCTATCTTGGAAGGAAAGGAAAGTAGCCCCTGTTTTCTAGGTACTCATATATGTGGAATAGGGGATTTAACTCATGAAATGGAGTTTGAACCCTGGCTCAGCCAACTACTGCTTGTGAGTCCTTGGCCAAGCCTTTCAGCCTCAAGTAGGCTCGAGGCATCTGGATCGGGGGAGGACCTTAGAGGCCAGCCTCCTCTCCTTCTGTTATACAGAGGAGGAAACAGCTGCCAGGAAGGGTTAATTGACCCACCTGCTACCCAACAGTCGTCAGACAGGTGGTAAATTACAGAGTGTGGATTTGAACCCAGGCCTTCTGCTTCCCAAACCATAGGTTTTAGAGCCTGAAAGGGCCATAGCAGCCATATTGTCCAGTCCTCATTCTACAGATCCAGAGAATGGAACCCAGGCAGGTTATGAATTCCACTATACTTCAGTGCCTTCCAGGCCTCAGTTTCCTCATCTACAAAATAAGGAGATTGAAACAGATGCTACCTAAGGGCACTTCTAGGGCAGTTAGACAGTGGATAAGGCCTGGAGTCAGGAAGACCTGAGTTCAAATCCAGCCCTGGACAATAGCTATGTGACCATGAGCAAGTCACTTAACCCTTTCTGCCTCAGTTTCCTCATCTCTAAAATGAGCTGGAAAAGGAAGCGGCAAACCACTCCAGTATCTTTACCAGGAAAACCCCAAATGGGGTCATAAAGAGTCACACATGACTGAAAAATGACTGAACAACAATAAAAGTCACTTCTACCTCTAAACTCCTGTGAATCCATTTCCCTAACCCAAACACAGAGAAAAGGTTGGTTAAGGTGCTGATTAATCAAACTACCCATTTTCCCCTTTACTATGGTTAGAAGGACCTTTTTTTTTTTACTTATCTTCAGATTTTTCCCTCTTTAATAAGAAATAAACATTTTGTCCTTGGGCAATGTGGGAAACAATGGTGGGTGGCTCTGGTGTGAGCCCAGATAAGAAAGATCTTGCATTTTTTGCTTCCTTACTCAGAGATAGGTTTTGATCCTTAGAGACATGGAGCCCTAACTAGACCTCTCTCTAGTTGGTTCAGAAACAGCTGATTGACAGAAGGCATGGCCAGAAGTGGCAGAAAAAAAAGATGCAAGAGGCAGCTAGGTGGTGTGGGTAGAGCACCAGCTCTGAAGTCAGGACAACCTGAGTTCAAATCCAGGCTCGGACCAAACACTTGACACTTACTAGCTACACGACCCTGGGCAAGTCACTTAACCCCAATTGCCTAAAAAGAAAAAAAAAGAGAGAAAAAAAAGAAGATGCAAGTACAGTCATGCAAAGAGAGGGAAGGAATTAGCACCATCACAGGAGTTTAGAGGTAGAAGTGACCTTTATTGTTGTTCAGTCATTTTTCAGTCACGTGTGACTCTTTATGACCCCATTTGGGGTTTTCCTGGTAAAGATACTGGAGTGGTTTGAAAAGAAGATGCAAGTACAGTCATGCAAAGAGAGGGGACAATGTGGCCCCCAGCCCTGGAGAGGAACATCACAGGGACAGGACCCTGGCTATGGTGCTGGACCCCAAAGGAA